TACATTTCTTTATTACTGCCTAGCACAGTGACAAAGATTTTGAGTTAAACACACACATCATCTCAACTCTTCCAACTAAACAAAATTAGGTGGTTTTCACCCCTCCAAGTTCTGCTCAGAACACCACTATATATTGACTCACACGGTTCATACGCAGCAGGTGACTACACAAGCATGGGAATGTTCACAGCTGTTGGCTTCTGCTTTTCTAAGTTTTGCCACTGTCAATTTTTTCCTCTCAAAGAGTCAGAGAAGTAGGGTGGGTCCAAATACCACCTGTTTCCTTAGACAACATTTATTTGCTTGTCACCACAGTTAAAGTCAAGGGCAAAAATGTACATGTAAAAATAAATGCAACGTTTTCAGCTAGCAGAACAATTTAAACCTTTACTAACTTGTGCTCTGGATACAAGTGTGGATGCCCATACTTCTGGTATCTACAGCATTTCAAAGAACAACTGACATCATGGGAATGGGAATGAGGCAAAGGTCAAATATTTGACACTTTTATGGCAATCACCATTTGGTGCAATGAAAGGAAAAACTGACAGCTGCACTCAGAAATACAGCTGGTTATGAAAAATATCAATGCAACAAAGAAACTGCATTATATACCTTAAAAGAAACTGGGATATATTAAATTTTTTCTTTACAGGTAAATGGAAAGACTTCTGTGCAGTCAGATAAAAGAGATTTAGGTAAATGTCAACAGGCAGAGAAGGTACAGACACTCCATAATTCTCAACTGATGTTGTGTTGACAATGAAAGGAAAATTATTTTTATTTGACTGCTGGTTTTGATGCACATGCAATGCTGTCAATAATGTTCTGTACATTTTTATGTAGAATTCCTACATTCAGTAGCTTTGATGCCAATTCTCCTCATTGCATATGAAGTAACATTTTAAGGGAAATGCTCTTAGGATAATGCTGATAGAACTCACTTAATTTGCTTGAATAAAATAATAAGAAATACAAAGAATCTTCAAGGGAAGTTGCTAATTTCCTCTAAGGCTGCACAAAATAATGATGTCCTAAGAGAGAGGAATCAACAAAATAGTCACCAAACATCAATGCAAAAAAATAAAGTGATCCAGACAGGAAAACCCTTATCTACTGTATGCTATCTGTGGCCTATTCATGTTAGATTCTCATAGCATCAATAGAGAGTGCATGGATGCCTTGGGGGAAAAACATCTCTTCTCAGCCTATGCATTCTCTCAGTGGTTTATGGAACTCTTTTAGAGTCAGATGTGCATCGTGGTTTTATGCATGCATATGTCAAAAAATACCAGACAGATACAGTTTATAGCTACCTACTTGCAAAAAAACCCCCAACAACCCCAAACCCAAAAAGACAGGCTGGCAAAATGCATGCAAGGAAATGGATGAAACACATCAAATTCCTAAAGCAAGAATGAACACAACTAACACCTAGATTCTGCATGTCTTAAATATAAAGATCCTTCTTTCCCAGTACAAATTTTGTTGACTGGTCTTCAAGTACCAAATTAACAAAGCATCACCTTCTAGTTTATCAGAGATCTTACTCACTTAGCATCCCCCAGTGATCAAACTGTGGCAACACCTGAACAGCTGCAAAGCATTAGTTACTGAAGACCATGGTAGTGCTGCCATTTAGGCTAAAAATTTCTTGTCTGTTAGTGGCTAACTTGGCAAGATCAGTATTCACTGAAAGAAATCATGCTTAAGGCTATAAAAGAAAACAGGAAGGTTACAAAATTCTACAAGCTGAATAATTATGATTATCAAACCCTACCTCTAATTCCTCTGTGGAAGAGTCCTAGGCTTGATTTAGCCTTCCAAATGGTAGCTTCTTTTCTGTATTTTCTTTTTCTTCTTATTACTTGTGGACATGTAACAGAAAGTCTAAAGTCTACTCTGATAAAGTGCAACACATTCAGAACTTGCCTTCCCTCCCTGTCTGCATGCTGGTGTGAGGCAGGGTGTACAGAATGCAAAGTGAACCTGTTTAACTGCTCAGGTGGCCTGCTGATAGTCTGGAGAATTGCATCAGCTGTTTGGCTGGTAAAGGAGTGGGGAAGTTGGAATGTGGAGATAATCCCTCAAAACAAACACAGACATTTGGTAAGTCAACACTAACCCATGTCCAGGCATACAAGGTGATGGCCATACTACCCAACTTCCAGATCCAGAACAGACAAGAGTAGAACTACTGTAACAAGAAACTGAGTATTGCATTGTTATGCACAGAAGATCTGGAGGACAGCAGAGAAATCAAAGATAAACAGCAGAGCAATTCAACTGAACGTAACTGGGAGCTCACATTCCACTGAACCAAACTGCCATGTGTTAAAATCCAAGCAATGCGCAGCCTTCAGAGCTTTTATGAGATTAGTAAGTGCACTGAAACAGGATCTGAACACTTCAGTGCACATTGAAAACTGCTTCCCTGTTCACCTGCCAATTTCATCAGCTTTTGTTGACTCTCAGTCCACCTTTGACCTGCCTTTCAAATACATTGCTTCCTTTCCTGCAGCTTATATACGAAATTTTACCTCCATATGTGGTACTACTTCCACCCTTCTATTCCTTAGGGTTCAGGATTTGGCAAGGTGACTCAATAACATTAATATATTTTACCACTGCACAGGTTATTCTCCATTTGAGGTTCATACTTGGACTGCCTTTCAGAACTACTTTTCTGTACAATGCAAGTCTGAGTCCAAACTAAGTATTCCCTGAAAAACTGCACTCCAGTGGGAAAGATACCAGTTTTCCTGGTCTTGTCAAAACTTCTGCAAAGTAATGCACTGCAGATGACACTGCTCATGGACCACATGGAAAATGCTGCTCAAATGTACTAGCACATCCATACATATCTCAAAAGCACTGCTCTTATGCTTCCACCACTTATAATACACAACAAAGGACAAGGCCAATAGGAACAATGGGCTGAGATGGAATTTGTACAGCAGATCCATTCATTATACTCAGCTCTTTGGCTCTGCATGGCAGTGCTTCAATCCTAAGGTGCAGAGTATCCTACACCTATACTCCAAAAGGATCCACAAATGCATTGCAAAAAACTCTTATGTGCAAAGATGACAGGAAAAAAAGTACAAAACATTATGATATGTTACTACCATGAACCATGCTAAAGAAAGTTTGTACAAGAGAAGCTGGTGAATGAATGTTATTAAAACAGACAGTATCTGACCAGCTGTGATATGAACAGGGAAATTTCATTTGTAAGTGACTAGGAAAAACAGCAAAACTGACACAGCTGTTACTAAAATCTTGCTGTCTACTTCTAACACACCTCCCTCAGCAAGAAAGCTCTGACAAAACACCATCACCTTCCCACCATTTACTTCAAAAACTATTCACACCCCTTTTAAATCTAGCACTTTACTCTGCTGGGAGTTTCTGAAAATCTGCAAAGCACTTCTCCTACTATGACCAATTTTGAACAGTCATATGTGAAAATTGGAGTGAAAATCATCCACTGCATAGAGATTTGTAGGTGCTGAATAAAACTATGTGAATATCTTGCTGTACTGTAGTGCAAGGTGAAGTTTCCTGATCACTCCACACTGATTTAAGTGTCCTGCTCCTGAGCAGGGTAAGAGCAGCTACCTTCAAGACACCTGTCCCTGCCTGCTCTAGTGCTTGTGTAATACTGTGAGTGGGACTAGAAAAATAAACTGAAAAACCATGTTTTTTGACAGTGTCCCTACTTCAGCTGCTTTAAAATGACCACTAAGCTCTTCCCTTTACATTTTTACCAGTGTACAGGAACCTAAAGAGCCCTAAACCCTTTGCAAAGCCAATGATGTGGCTCTTGTTAGAGAGATGCTACAGAAATAGGAACACCTGCCTGAAAGTTGGCTGGGGAAGTATAAAAATAAAAATCAAGTAACTGAAGAAGCATTTTCATTACTTAGAATATTTCAGACATTAATGTGAGTAGGAGAGACAGCTTTAGAAAAAGAGAATAATGAAAACCTTCTTTCAAAAGAAATATAGAATTGTAACAGATCAAAGTGTGATCCATTTTGGAAGTGACTTCTGCTCCCCTTTTTCCATCTCCACTTTGCAGGATGCAACACACATCACAGTTGAGCATGTCTCCAGGTGGCAGTGAGAGAAACATTGCCTCCTGGTGCTCCACACCCTCTGCAGCACCACAACCACTTTTCTGCAGCTGAGCTACAGGAAATGAATTTGTAGCTCAAACTATTTAGGAGCACTTCCTAAAGAAATAAAGGATCCAGAAGTGCAAGACAGTGGCACTTAAAGTGCTGTTTATGTTGTTCAAATTTCATGTGGAAAACTCAGGACACTAGACATTTCTCAAGTTCAGAACCTCAGAAGAGTAAGCTCAGAATTTCTGCAAAAGCTAGGTACCAGTTGTCTGGGTATTTTTTTTTAAAACTTTTAGTAAATACACCTTCATATCCTGCTGTGTTAACCACACAGAGAGCAGCAGTGAACATGATGCATCTTGAGATTCAGCTCACCACTTGCCAATACAAAAAGAATCACCAATATCAGTCTAGGTTTTTCTGTGTATATAAAGCTTAAAGTTGTCTCTATTTCTTCTGACAGCTTACATATGCATATTTACTTGTTATAACCCAAAGAAGTTACTGCCACAGAGGACACTCATTTTTTTGTGCCTGCCCACACATGGTCAAAACAATGCACAGTTCAGGGATACTAGTGGATTTTACATTTAATACAAAGTCTAGCAAAATAGCCTAAGCTAAACTTGAAAAACTTGATCATCTCTGACTCTCAGAGATCTGGGGCTCTTGGCTGACTGACTAGATTTTAACCCCAGCAGCTTTTTCTCTTACTGCTCTCCTGCAGAGTACCCTGGCCTGGGGTGTACACTGCACTTGAATGGAGAAACTGGTCAGTAGAGTGAAGAGTCTATAAGGGGAAACCCATAAATCACAGATGTTCCCTTATTTCCCTCTCTTCATGCCTACTTTTGCAGAACATGACAAACCATGTTATCTTTAAAACCTTCTTTGCCCTCTGCCCAGTTTTGCTGAAATTGATCTTTTGTTGATACATCAGCTGTTTGTACAAATTAAAGGAAATCAGTCTAAAAAGAGCCAGAAATATTCCAGGAGATGCATAAAAATCCAAATGAAAACCCCCAATATTTGCTATGTATAAAATAAAAAAACCTCTTGAATATGTACACTGAAACAAATACAGAAGAAGAAAAAGAGTGAAGAAAAAGGCCAAATATTTTAAATCTCTCCTCCTATTAATAGCACATCCTGCTTTCTATTTTGGCCACACTTGTTTCTCCAACTATTCTGCTTACCCAGCTGTAGGCTGTTAAGATTGTATCTTGCTGCTATTATGTCTCAGAGGAAATGCTTGGATAGGCAATTTAGATGGATTTTTTTTTTTCCAATTTAATATGGGAAGGTTTTGTGGCTTTCAAAAACAAGTAAGGCTATTCCCAGTCACAAAGAGATGCATCAAACCTGCAAAAATAGTAATTTCACAGAACAGCTGAGGCTGAACAGGCCCTGCACATGCCTTTAAGTATAGGAAAGCATTTCACATGTATATTTACACAACATGCTCTTGAGATCACTTCACTGTGAAGTACACTAAATTTGAGAGGTATCTGTGTCCAAATAGAGTTTACCTCACTGTGAATCAAATTATGTTGCATGCAGTGCATTAGTGACAGAAACACTTCTGCTCTGAGCTGTTAATCAAGGTCTCACTTTAAGATGCAAGAAAAGCATCTCAGTGACTCAGAGAAGTCAGAAGATGGAGCTTGCAGAGCTCATGCTTTGAAATTCAAACTTTAGAGAGCCAGAGACCATTACCTACTAGCTGTTCTCAGGCATTCTTGGCCTCAGCATGTGCTGCACTGCCTGGCTCACATGAAGTGGGATGCATAAAATGATATACCTGCATGCTCATGCACAGTGACTTTCTTTTGGTCTGTAGTCTTTCAGCTCTACAGAATTTCAGGAAATAAATATGGAAACTATGGATAACTACAACTCAAGTGGCAAATGTCACAGACTGGAGCAGCATACATGGGGACAAATCCAGTCTGGTATGAAGTATATGCTACAGAACTCAACTGAGGTCAAAGAAATCTCATTCCTTCTGCTAGGCCAGAATTTTTCTAGTTCTATACTCCAGCATGTAAAGATGAAATAGAAGCATCATCTTTTCTTCAGAGCAATACTTGGTGACAATTTTTTACCCCAGAAATCATTCAACTAGTACACAAAAATAATTTCTTCTCTGGCTAATTAATGTGACACGAGAGGAACAATGTTACATACAAAGCTGAGAAGTAAAAACCCAACAGCTGATGAGCTTGGCTCCCATCATGTAGGTGGGAAACTGCAGTGGCAGTACAAACAGAACACCAGACAAGTATGTCCACTCGGTAGACAAAACGATTCACACTTCACAGGATACATACATCAGTAAGTTCATGGAAGCAAATAAACCCAGACTTTACCATCATATCTGCTGGGAGAATCACATGCTTTCTGAGGAGTTGCCACTCGCAGGAATATCTGTTGCCTCCACGAATGCCTTCGAGTCCTTACAGGGCTCTCTGCATCGATGGCCTGATGGCTGTGCTTGGATTCATAGTCACTAGAACAGTGGAACACAGAACAGCTTGTGAGCAGGTTACCTCAGGCTGCTGCTACCAGTGACACAGTCCTCAGTGAACACAGCAACATGAACCATCAGCTAAGGAGTGCAGTGTGCTGTGCACATGCAAACTCTTAGTGTTAGGCAGGTGAAGTTTGCTCTGCAGCAGCATCTTATACAAGGCTCCAAGCACCACTCAGGCTCACTACCAGGGGCTGGCAGCCCTGTGCAATCTGCTTTCTCCAGTCTTAATCAGTTTTCAGTTTTCTTTGCAGCAATGTACTAAACACAACATACTAGAGACACACAAACAATAAAACAGCTTTACTATTAAGCTATTTATATGCTATCCACAAAATCTAGCAATTATGCACAGGAGACACAAAGACTTGCTGATGCCTTTTATCAGCACACATCAAGGAGCTTTATAACACCAATCAGACTTCCAACCTTCTGTGAACTGGGCATGGAATACACTCCTTCCCAACATGGACTTGGAGCAAAACTTTTATCCCCTGTGTTTGCAAGTCACCCTCTGAAATGAGCAACAAGCTTGGGAACAGTGTCCAGGAACCTTGGATACTATTCCTTTGATGTAACCCACAAACTCCATACAGAGGTTCTTATTCAGAATATTAAATGAAATAGTGTAGAGAAATGCCATTTTCTTCTTTAAAATCCCACTAATAACTTCCATCCCTTACAACTCTAAAGTATTCATTGCTTTATTCCAGCCATTCATTTGCTAAATGGTTGCACGAGTCTTTGTTGAAGCTGACAGGGATAAATGAAATTCAAATAGTTGTCAGCAACAGGGAGGAGCATTTTACAGGTCATCCTCTCCTCCTAACTTGAGGATGCTGACAAGGCTTAGGATTAACAATGTATATTCTCTTAACTGAAAACTCTGTTTTTGTCAGGAATAATCACAGAAGGACATAGATATGTCTCTTCACTGAAAACTGTGTTTTTCTCAGGAATAATCACAGAAGGACATAGATGGAAGTTGCATGATCATTGCAACATCAACATGCATAAATCCTGCAGTCTTAATGGGAGAGTAGTCTGGGATAGCTCTATCCTTTTGACAGCAATTATATGCAGAACACATGCAAGTGAACTGTTGCACAAATCAGGTTTTGCAAGTGCAAAACACTGAAAACTGTGTTTTTCTCAGGAATAATCACAGAAGGACATAGATGGAAGTTGCATGATCATTGCAACATCAACATGCATAAATCCTGCAGTCTTAATGGGAGAGTAGTCTGGGATAGCTCTATCCTTTTGACAGCAATTATATGCAGAACACATGCAAGTGAACTGTTGCACAAATCAGGTTTTGCAAGTGCAAAAAGCATTTGAAGTATTTCAGACAGAGACCTTTGAAAATACAGTTTTACCTCTAGGCTTTAAGAGAGAAGCCTACCTTGTTGTGCTCCTAAAGTCAGAGGTGTTATTTTCATCTACAGGAGCCAGAAATTTTAAGAAATTTGGCACAGAAGAGGAAGAATGAAGCTTTTTCCTTAAGGCAGTACGGTAGGACATGCTGAGAGTGCAGTTGGGAGAAGTATAGTTTAGAACAAAGAAGTATAAATCCACAGAATAAAAATAATACACATTTCTAAGTTTCAAACAAAAAGCAGGTAAAACCTGAAAGCTTGAATATCAAGGAAGCCAAAGTCAAAACTGAAACTGCTAACAAAGTGCTACTTTGAAATACATATTTGTTTGGGCAAACGAAAATGTTCCAAAATATATATAAATGTACCTCCAGTAAAGTTATTATTCTCTGCTATATCACAAGATTTTAATGCATGTTTCAAATAAATTCCTTTGCTCTAATGGATCTGGTGCGAACTTTATCAATGCACATTTACTTAAATATCAGTTTCAACAACTGACTAAAGTTGGGGGAAAAGGTTAAGAAAAGTTGACACTGATAATTGTTGTGCTGGCAAATGAAAAATAAGACTTTGGCAAAAAACATATTGTAAAGCATTAACAGGGTTTTATCCAGGCAAGTTTGGAACTTTTAAATTAGAAGCTGAGCCTTCTGACTGACCATTCAGGATTGTGGCTCTGTTTATGCAACAGACAGGAGTGCTAATCCAGCTTCATCAATAGTCTTCTGGCCAATGTAATTCTGCTTATCTTTTAAAATAACAAGTCTCAAACATACTCAGAAGAAGGTTAATAAAAAGTACTAAGAACAACTCAGACAATGAAAAGCTTTTGCATGGAATGAAAACATAGAAAACTACTTGGCTGATGATGCTAGAAGACCTTGTCTCAAAAGAGTAGACAAAACCCACAGGAGTAGGAGAATTTACTCCTGAAAAAGTAAGCTTAAAGAATTGCTTCAGATAAACCATAATGATATATATCTGGATGGCATTTAGTGCTCTTTCCTGAAGATGTGAATGGGATGGGGAGGATACTCTGGGATAATCACTAGGATAAAGTAAAGCTGGTTCTTAATTAGCTGGAACTGAGATGAAGAAGACAAGGGTACAGAATGGTGTGCCCTGCAAACAGGTATCACTTATAATCATGCTGTAAATCCATCAGTTACATGGAAATTCCACTTACAGAATACAATCAACTTGTGAAGCTTAACTTTATTGATTTAAACTCAGCCCATTTGATATCCCTATCAATTTCCATTTCTGGTCTTGTTGTTTAGAGGTTCCATATGGTATATACTACTAGTTAGTACTCAGCAAAAAAACCCTAAAAAAAGGTGAAATAAGGTTCTCAGTTGAGTATTTTCTCAGGTTCAGAAAACACAGTGCCTTGGGAAAACAGGAAACTTTCACCCAAGAGTACAAAACTGAACAATAAACAGCAACAGCAGTAAAATTCCTTGCCAATGCCCAGCGACTGTTGGCAGTGCTTCCAAGGCCATTTGGTCTCATTGGTCTCATGAGCAGTTTTAGCTCAAGGGGTTAAGAGGGGGTTTCACAGATCAAGATATTTTAGGGAGCTACTTAGTTTCAGGTTCTGAGGAAAACAAAGTATTCATTTCCTTTTCTCAGTGCTCTCTCTGTGTATTTTAATTCTAAGAAAGGAGGCACAGAAAAGTGTAATTTGATATTGATGAAAGCAACCCAAACAAATACATGAGGTGATGGGTTGGGGTCTTTTGTTGGTTTGTTCTTGGGTTTTTGTGGAGGTGATGGGTTGGGTTTTTTTGTTGGTTTGTTCTTGGGTTTTTGTTTTGTGAAGAGCAGCTGTAGTGGTAGGGTTGTTTGTGGGTTTTAGTTATTTGGGAGGTTTTTTTGTATCACCTGTCTATAGTCCTGCTACTTCTTGCCCCATTTAGTTAACTTGGTCAACTTGCCTTTAATGCCAGGCACAAAAGAGTATGAATATGTTTCTGTGATAGCATGAACAAAGCAGAACAGAACTGAAAGATTCAGGAGGGACAGAGTGAAGTCCCAGGTTCTTGGCAACTTTGCCCTCACACAATTTAAGCAGTGCTGCTTGAATGAGGAGGGAGAGAGTGAACTCCCAGGTTCTTGGCAACTTAGCCCTCACACAATTTAAGCAGTGCTGCTGTCTGCTGCATAACAACAAACTGCTTTGGAGCAACTGGCTCTAAATAAAGAGCCAGTGTCTGAAAAATTGTTATTGATTAAAACAACAAATTATGTAAGTAGCAGCTCTACATTCAGTAGTGGACCAGTTAAAGAGTTCCCTCTCCCATAAAAACCTACCACCTTTGGTCTATATTAAATTATTGTAATTATTTACACTATATAGCTTCGTATTTATGACACGGAAAATCAAACCCTACCCCAAACCATGTACAGGTGCTAGCTCACCTTTTTTGTGCAAAATGCCCACTTTGTTCTCCACTTGAATTATGCCTCAGATATTTTAAAAAGTTGGGTGAAGAGGCCGAGGGATTAAGACGAGCTAGAGTAGGAGAACGCGCGAGTTGACCAGAAGAACTTTGAGATTCGCCCACAGATGTGTTCAAACCATATGGTGGGATTCCAACCAGAGTGATGGAGTTGAGGTAGCACAAAGAACAAAACGTAAGAAAGGAAAGGAGGGGGAAAAAAAGAAAGTGAAATCCCTTCTCTAATCTTTGAAAGTGACCTGGCATATATGAGACATTTCCTGGTTTTCACAGTTAATGCAGAAACTTTAAGCACCCAAACATTTTAGCCCAATCAGCAAAGCCCCAAATACATATTTACAGGTTTCAGTCAGGCATTTCAGCATATGACTAGATTCAAACTCACAACAAATTGGCACTAACACCCCCATTTCTTTTACCTTGTGTGTGTTTTCACTTGGTTTCTATGATAAAGTCAGGCATATGATCAAGTGTTCCAATGGATGAGAAGTGAAACGCTAAGGGAAGAACTGAATTTATTTATACTTTGAAAACAATTTATGACTTGAGGTAAGCTGTTCAAAAACACTCATAAAACAGCCAAGACTTGTTACAAGTCTATCCTTCCAGTGATTTTTGAGAATTTTATGTATACCTGTAAGTTTTGCATTTCCTCTGTTTTTGTACATTTGCTATGAAATGGAAGCAACAGAGATTTCTTTTTGATTTGAATTACGTGAGGGAGCAGGCACACTAAAAATCACATCACCAAACCCAAACAGAAATAACCAAGGAAATGAAAAATATACTCAATTTCCAGCTGCATTCCTATAGTAAGATACTAACTGACTGAACAAGCTGCTACAAGCATCAAGGCAGCTCTTATGAAGATAGCAGACCAACAGATAACAAGTCCTAAACTGCACTACAAAAACATTCTGGAATTTTAGAATTAAGAAGGGTCAAAGAAAGGACAAAAAGGCAACCCAGGTTATAGGTTTCCTTTCAAATATTATAAGTTTTGTGGGTTTTTTCTCCACTGTCATCACCCTTTTCAGGCATGTTTGTTTACTGCCCAGCCTCCTGCAGGAAAAAATGAGCTGGAACACATACAGATTTCCTCCTAAGTGGTGTAAACGAGCAGTTTTGGCAGTAAAACAGAAGCTTACAGACAGAACTGTTTCCATAGTAATTGGAAAAAGGCAGACAGAAGGATGAGAGAAACCTGCCATAAAGAGGAGACTAGAGATGCAGAGGCAGGATTCTGAAGAATAGCTTGAAAGGCATTAGCATTAAAGCAAGCAGTAGCTTCTTTCTGCAAGTAAAATCTAGATAGGCTCATTGAAAAGCCAGACAGGAGCTTCACCTCTACCAATAACCAGGCAATTTGTGTTAGTTTTGTACACTATTTTAAAGTCATACACAAATTCATCAACTAATGAGGTTTTCTGGATCACAAAAGCTACTGGGTTTATCTCTCTACATAAGGAACAAGAAGCAACATTTACTTATACTGCTCACAGATCAAAACAGAAGTTAATGCTTGCACAATGTAGCTGAGCAATTCTATGTTGTGCTTATACAGAAGTTAATGCTTGCACAAATATAGCTGAGCAATTCTATGTTGTGCTTATATGTAGTTTTGTGACATATACTGTAGAACTCCATATCTCATGTCTTCTCTCCCCTATGGAGCACACAAGGCTAAAAGTGTTTTTAAACAGAATACCTCCAAACTTCCAAAGAGTGACACACTGCTGCAACACATTTCTTATCCATTAAGAGGACATACCTGGTATGCAATGATCATCCCCAAATATGCCCTCAACAAACAAAATCATAGCCTGCTTTTAATAAGTCTTACTTTCTTTTGTGAGGAGTCTCTGTGCTCACTGAGTGATACCTCATAAGTTTCCTCTGAGGAACAGTTGGTGATGTTTCAACAGGTTCCAGAGACTCCTGGCTTTCTGTTGGCAAGTGGCTCAGGGTGTTTGCTCTCCTCCGAAAGCTTTGCTGAGGTAATGTAACAGACTGCTCAAGGGGAGAATCATCTGTGTCACTGGAGAGATCACCCACTGAGCCGCTGGTCTGGACAGCGTTTTCCGTAGGAAGAGCAGGAACTCTGTCTTTGTCCTTTTCACACAATGGTGGCTCCTAGCAGTGCAAGAAAGAAAGTTATCAATATGTGGGTTTGGAATTAACCTTTTTGAGGTTGCAGTCCCATGCTGTTATTCACACTCCACAGAGACCTGCTTCAAACGTGCACATTTTCATCAAGACAGCTCAATGAAAGATCTTTGATGTTTTATGGCTTTGTTATTAATCATTTAGGTCAACAAAGCAGAGTCCCTATTTTGCAGAGAAAAAGTAATTTTAAGAGTAATTGCATTTGATATTATGTTAAATATAACTCAGAAGAGAGAGGACCAGAACAAAAGTTTTGGCTAACAGTGGAAAGGGTGGTAGCATTTCAGAGTACTGTATATTTAGCACCTCATCTAACACAATACTCCTCTTGTCTATCTGAAGATTCACACTAAGAATTTAATCCTAGGACTAGACAGATGCATGTTTCAGTCCCAAAACATGGATTTCCTTCATTCCTCACCTCGTGTGCTTTCTGCAGACTCAGCCACTCTTTCAAAAACATAAGCAGCAATAGCAGACTATTGATTACATGAAGTCAGGAGTCTGTAGGAGACCAGGCACTACAGCAGAATCAATAGCTGTATATCCAAGTCTGCAGAGTGCTATGTTGCCTCCAGGGAAGAAGACTGGCTTCTATGCTGTGTTTTTTGTAAGGTTTTATACAGACTAAAAGCTTTCTAAACACACAATGGGGAAAATAACTCCACTTCTTGTTTTCGTTCTATGTTTTTTTATGAATACAATCCTGCATTCATGGTATATACTTTCAAGGCTAAAACCAGCCAGATTAGGATCAGCAGCATGGTAATTAGAGCATTTGTTTTGATGCACATTGTTGCAATATTCAAGTGATGTTAAATAACATTTTATTCACCTACAAAATATATGTTATACACAGTACGAGGCATTTCTAATTCAGATAGAGACTCAATTGTACTTCTCTTGTTTATAGCACAGGGAACAGAATGAAAAGCCTGAAAGCAACTTCAAACTCGTGGAGACCAGATTTACTATGAGAGCATCTTGCACATCACCACTGTGTTGACATGTGACTACTATTCTTAGCCTGAATCTCTGTTATCGGAGTAAACTGGAAAATATCTTTGTTCAAGCTGTCCCTCAGAGGACTCAGATTTTAACATGTTAAATATATGAAAAATCATTTAGGTAACCAACTTGCAAACTCTAAAAAGCTTAAATATTGCTTCAGGCTGG